AGTTATAGTTTGTACAAACCAATTTATTTCGATGAGACCTTTCATTAGAATACCATGAAGGTATTACATGTGTTTACCCCCCCCCCCCCGCCCCCCAGCAGTAGTTTGTAGAAAACTGTTCCTTTTGTTGAGACCTTTAATTACAATACTATGAGAGATAAAATTAATTTCTAATCGCCCCCCCCCCCTCTGGCCCCGTCGCTCACTGATCTCGAAAAAGAGTCGCAAGGGAAAGTTATAGTTCGTACAAACCAATTTATTTCGATGAGACCTTAGAGACTTAGAATACCATGAAGGGTAGAACATGTGTTTACCCCCCCTCCCCCATCCATTTTCTAAAGTTTAACTTGGCACCACTACTAAAGGCATGCGTATGCAAAATCTGAGACCAATTGGTTGTGGTATGTGAAAGTTATGCACCAGGAAATACTTCGTGGGGGAGGGGCCCTTTTAAACAGCGAAATTCGATGGCCGTCTGGCACACCTTCAAGGTATAGGCTACCTACTGTAAAATATTCCAGAACTCTAGGACCATTCTCCTAGCAGTAGTTCAAAACGGCAGAAGTGGGTCCGGGCGGACGGACGTACGGACGGACGTACGTACGGACCGACGGACAAAACGCAAACAATAGCACATTTTTTTTTTATTCTTAAAAAATGCGCTAAAAAGACAATAACATAGAAACAAGTAAATGAAAGGCAGGAACGAGTACAGAGGAGAGAATCAGACATAGAGTAATGGTGGAGAAAGAAAGAAAAGAAGAGAACAGAAAAAAGTACAAAAGAAAATGTAAGGAAAAAAATGAAGAAACAGAAAGAATATGAAGAAAAATTCAAGGAAATAAGAGCACAGAAGGGCTTTTGGAAGCTAATGAACAGATGAAAGGGGAAACACATAAAAATGGGAAAGAAATACAAATAAAAGACTGGAAGCAGCACTTCATGAAGGTACGACACGGAAATCAGGAGAAAGAGGAGGTGACATAGGAACATAGAAGAGAGGAGGTGGAAGAGTAGACGGGATAGCAAGAGAGGAGATTAGAGACTGAAGAAAGGGAAAGTGGTAGAAAGATTCCCCTCCCATTTTTAAATTCGACTGTATATATGTACTACACAGATTGGTGGGAAAAGAATAAGAAAAAAAGGGAGGCAGAAGGGCGTTTTTGATTCATTTAAATGCAGCGTTTGACAGAGTGGAAAATGATAAAAGATGGGAAAATACACAATAAAGTAAAGGACAGAATCAAGGAACTATCTGGAGAAGGTGGAAGGAATGGGGTGAACTAGAAGGAATATAAAGAAGGCATTACAAATGGGCACTGGGTCTAAACAGAAGGACACCAAATTACATATTAGACGAAGAAATAAAAGTAGAGCAGATAAGGATAGTCAGGACGCAGACTCTAGAGGAGGAGAGAAAGAGGAAACGAGTAGGAAACAGTAGGTACAAGGAGCTGGTTGCCGAATTTCCTCAGGGAAGAAAAAAAATCAAGATATAATAGCGAGATTTAGATGCAGAAACGACAGGAAAGGAGAAGTGGAGAAACGAAGACAAATGCAGAATTTCGGAAGAGAAAGAGCACATGCTTAGAAAATGAAAAAGCAGAAAGAACAAAGGAAAGCAGAAGTATAGATTGGAAAAGGTGGGAAGAGGAGAAAAATGGATGAAGATGATTTTAGAGAAAAGGAAAAAACCTACAAATTGTAATTTTTTGTAATTGATTGATTGGATTATATGCCCAATGGCATTAATAAAGACTGATTGATCCAGTATCATCCAGTAACTCCCTTGAACTTCTATGAGTCAAAAATGGTATGCCGGAACGAAGGGCAATGAAAAAGCCGCCAAACTAGCCAGAATGTCCACAAACGACCATTTTGCGGGCTCTCTCACTTGCAGTATCCAATGTATTACCTAAATCTAATAATTCAAGATACCTAGGCAAAACACCAAATGGGATTAGGTGTCAGACTGTCGCCACGCGAGAGAGGCCATTTAATTAGGTACGTGATTTATTTATGTACAATCATTCATGAACTTATAACGGCCTTTAAACAGATACTCATGTAGACATGAAAATTTATACCACGAGCACGAATTTCACTAGTTATCACTTCGCCATCGATGTTGGAACGCATTAAACGCAATTTAATTTGCTTATACGTATATCAAACAAAAAAGCTTCTAAAGAATTCTCAACTCAGCATATCACATTTCATGGAAATAATGCGTCGCTCTCATTCCTTATCTCCGGTGACTAATCCTTTCTCCGATTTATGGCGCCTTGACGTCGCTCTAGAAAATTCGCTAAAGTAAGTTAAAAAAAGCACATACATCGCATGGGATCGACTCCATTTCTGTATTAAAACATTCTGTATGAAACCAATAAATTTACGAAGGGCAACTGTCTTGCGCTTTCCAATATTATAGGTACTGAAGATTTAAACATTCAATCGAGAAAAATGCAATTGCACCCAACCATCGCAATTTCATATTTTGTACAACATGATCCTCGAGGCGTTTTTGAATAATTCTTAAGAAAGGTTCGATTGGGAATACAGAACTAAACAGGCTTTCATTTGATTAATTAAAACCAAAGTGCGCACACATTTTGGGGCGAGCTTCCCTCAATAGGGTGTAAAATTTAAAATTCGTACGTACTCGGATTACGGAGACAGGGTAGATATCTGCATTATCAATAAACCACTTTAAGGCGGGAAATTCCCAACCGCAAGTTATGCAAGCAACATTACACGAAACAAGTTCCATTGCAGCCTTTACAACAATTTAAACCTATAATTTACGAAATTAAAATGAAAACTAAGCAGAGGGTATTGATTTAAAGGTTCTATAGGTCAAGGACGTTACCTATTCGTTACTTATGGCCTCATTATAAATTGTAATTAGGAAAACAATGCCCGATGTTTTGTTGCACGGGTGCAACACCTACACTGGTGATATGCACTTACCGTAGGTAATATCGTGGGTCACAGTCTCCTCTAAGGACACGATGACAGTTTGGGTCATGGAACGAACAGACGGTGATTTCGAGTGTAATTTAGAGAGCGGTATCGGGGTTTTAGAGAAATTGTCCTCATGTTTCGCATTCTCTTCCTGTTCGATTTCCATACCTACTGATTTAAATTGTTGCACCGTTTTTACGCACTAACACGCACTCAGAACGTTCTTAACCCCATGTCGCCCCGACTAAAGTTAAATTTCGAGCACATTTGCAAGTGTCAACATTATTTAAACTAAAAATTATTGTTCAATGTTTACCGATGTCAAATCGCGGTAGATTAGGATGTGCCCGGCCACGAATAGTTCATTCGACATCTCTTGGTACGCGGTGGTTGGGTCGCGTCGCATTAAAAAAATTCATAAACAAGTTTCGCATTCAATTTCCATATATTGCAATTGTGGCAATTGGCGCCCAACCCCCTGCGAGCCCACGCGATCTGTTTCGGCAAGTGTTTACTCGAAAATTTCTAAATACGAACAGATTCATTTTGAAATACTTCATTCCATAAAACTAGACGGCAAGGTCAGATATTTATGGATCTTTCAAGATGGTGTTGGGATTCTACTATCGCTATCGCTCCTTGCGACGTTATCACTATCTTTATTGGGCTGTAGTTACGAGTGCGCGCATAAATTTACTGCAGATGCGTTTTGCAATAACAAATTATATTCGCATTGATAGGTAAATATTTACGGTCGAATTTGAAATGCATGCGCATGTGCAGTGAGATTTTTACGGAGACCACTTGTTGCTAAGTTATTTTTAGCGGCAAATTTATTCTGCCTTCATCTACAGGCTGATCTTTAAGGCTTGACAGTACATACAGAACGAAGTATGTAAAGTTGTTTGATGGCAGAAACATAAACTTAGACCAATTTTATAATGCACATTTTCGATCTCCATAAACCAAGCGACGCGGCGGAAGCTATCTTTCGCGCTTTTGAGGAAAACTTTTAAGTTGTTTTTCCAAGATTATCTATAAATGAAGTTGGAACAATTTCCAAAATTGGGATAAGTTCTGTAGTGTACTTAATCCCCAGGTTCTACGCTAACTTCACACTACAAGAACATGGAAATAAAGTCAACCCGGCAACGTTTAAAAATGGTCACCCGAATGTGACTATTCTCTCCAAACCTAACAAGATCCCGCTTAAAACTGAAAAGTGGCACGTGTGACGTGATCAAACATCTAAGGGAGGACCCCCTTACATTAATGGTAAACAACGCTCTGACCTGAAGCACAGTAGGGAAGGAACGTAAAATAAAACACTGAATTGTGAAAAGTGTGTATAATAATGATCGTAATCCTTATGATTGTGAAATCCCGGAAATTTAGTTGGTGTACGTGAATGTAACACAGCCAAAAACGTCTCGTACTCTCGCAAAAGTAACTGCCAAGGGTAAAAAGAGTACGACGAAGCAAAATCTTGCAGATTGATTAATACAGTCTAAAAGTTAGTTAACAATAGTATATTGTTTTATAAGGAGTAAAAGTGTGACTTTTTGTGGCAAGTCTGAATGTTTGACGGCCGAACGTAGTGAGGCCGACAATTTCAGACGCGCCACAAAAAGTGCTTTTACTCCGAATAAAACATACAATTTTTTCCGCAAACGCTGTTCAAACGATAGAATTAAGGGAGTATTCCTAAAAAGATTGCAGCGCATCTGTTAAATGTTGAAAAATTTAAAACTAGATTGCTGTGGTTTGCGGTTGTTATGGTGAAAGAAAATTTTGACAATTCAACAAATTAATTATCGGGAACATTCAAAGCCCTTTTGAACTGTGCGTTTTTGGTAAGTACCCGAGTATCAAGTAGATAAAGTAGTAAAAGATATTGACCAATTTTTCTTGCAGGTTACATATTATGTCGGATTCCGAACTTAACTGTACGCCGCCAGACGTTCTTGCAATTGCCAAGACAGCTACGAACGATTTAATTCCAACGAAGTCAAGTAGAGTTTATACTCATGCTTATGAAAGATTTCTCACATGGTGCAATGAGAAAAACATTACAAACTATTCTGAAAATGTGCTACTAGCTTATTTTTGTGAATTGGCAACCAATCTAAAAATGAAGAGTTCAACAATGTGGTCTCAATATTCCATGATAAAAGCATTATTAAATCTTAAACATGGATTAGATATTAGCAAATATATGAAGCTACGTGCTTATTTGAAAAAGCAGAATGAAGGCTATACTCCCAAAAAATCAAAGGTATTCACAAAGGAACAGTTTGAAGATTTTTTAAACAATGCACCTGATGAGCAATATTTGGGGATTAAGGTTAGTTATAAAATACTTACCTAGGTATACCTGCATAAATACATTAAAGTTTTAAAATAATATATGCTATTTTCAGGTTGTTTTAGTAATAGGCGTATCAGGAGCATGTAGGTGCGATGAAATGGTGAATATGACAATAGACAATATAGAGGATTTAGGATCTGTTATTCATATAAAGATTCCTGATAGCAAAACTAAAAAGCCACGATCGTTTACAATTATTGGTGAAAAATACATAAATCTTTATAGAAAATATACTTCCTTGCGCCCCCCCGCTATGGAAAGCCGTCGATTTTTCTTGAAATTTCAAAACGGAAAATGTTATCGCATGGTCATGGGAATTCATACAATTAGTAATGTACCCAAAACAGTAGCAACTTTTTTAAAACTACCGGATTCAAAACTTTACACAGGCCATGCTTTAAGAAGAACTTCAGCTACATTGCTGGTGAATGGAGGAGCTGATATCACTTGTTTAAAGCGGCATGGAGGTTGGAGGTCGAGCACTGTGGCTGAAGGATACCTAGAAGATTCTTTGTCTAATAAAAAAGAAACCGCGAAAAAAATCTTAATGCCAAATTCTTCGTCATTGGGCCTGAATGCAGCTTCCGATGAGCGAAATTCGGTGGACGTTGATTTAACAGATGTTGAAACGAGTAAGAAGTCAAAGGAAATGTTATTGGCTAACTCATTCAACTCTACACAAAATTCTATTGAATTAGAAGTCAATAAATCAGGAAGTGTGTTAAATTTGTGCGGTGCAACTCTAAATAATTGTAATTTCACAATTAATATGTAATTATCGCTAATAAATCTCCAAAGTTCAACTACCTGATGATATTTACTGTCTGTCATGTCACTTTTTTCTCCGGCCGTGAGCGTACAAAATATACACAATGTTGGTTACACTCAAGGTTAAAAACAAATTTTGGAAACAAAGGGTCAGGTAAGAGTATGTACCTAAATTCTGAGGGGACTGCAGGGACAAGACCAAGTAATCAACATCAATAAACAAAAATTAAGCAAGCTGTAATGTTTCTAGGGGGCTATCAAACCGACAAGCCTTTAGTGGTACTAAGTTAAACTTTAGAAAATGAGGAGGGGCGGGGGAGGGAATTAAACACATGTTCTACCCTTCATGGTATTCTAATGAAAGGTCTCATCGAAATAAATTGTTTGTTGTTCCCGTGCGACTCTTTTTCGAGATCAGTTAGCCACGGGGCCGGGGGGGGGGGGGGGGGGTCAAATTAATTTTATCTCTCATTGTATTTTAATTAAAGGTCTCAACGAGAAAGAAACCGTTTTCTACCAACTACTGCCCCTTCTTTCTGTCCTCCTATCAAAGTACGAGGTGGAGAGAGAGGGAGGCAGTGGAACTAGTTTTATCCATGATGGTAATGATTCTCGGAAGAGGGTACTCACAAAGGGCGATTGAGACGTCTGCAAGAAATATATCTATTGGTGAAGTCAAAACAAAAGATATTTGAGTTTAAAAAAATGCGCTTTATCTGCACAAGAGTTGTGCACAATTTATACTTGTTTATACTCTCCTTCATATTTTTCAACTGCTTCTCTGTACTCCTTCCTATTTCTTCGTCTTGTTCCTCTAGTCTCCTTCTATCGACTTCGCAGTATCTCTTGCCCATTACTGTTTCTCCTTTCGTTCTTGTATCTTTCCATTTCTTGATCTTTTTATCTTGCTTGGGTTAATTAATTGATGTGATGATCCGCTTCGAAATTCTTCTATTTCTTCCAGTATTTTTAGCGAATTTTTTAAGAATTAAAAAAAATGTGTTATTGTTTGCGTTTTGCCCGTCCGTCCGTCCGTTCGGACACACTTCTGCTGTTTCGAACTACTTTTAGGGGAATGGTCCTAGAGTACTGGAATTTTTTGCAGTAGGTAGCCTACACCTTCAAGGTGTGCGAGACGGCCATCAAATTTCGCTGTCTAAAAACCCCCCCCCCCCCCGAATTATTTCCTGTGATGCTGTTTTTGAAAGTAAAACATGCATAACTATTACATACGACAACCAATTGGTCTCCGATTTTGCATACGCATGCCTTTAATGGTGCCAAGTTAAACTAAACCATAGCCCTCCTCCTCGACCTCTTATCGTGATCGGGTATATTCCCGTATACCTCAAGAACGGATTGTCGGAAGAGGGTACTCACAAAGGGCGATTGAGACGTCTAGAAGTTGAAGATGTCAAAACGGTTAAAAATGCGCATTATCTGCTCAAGAGTTGTGCACAATTTATACGTCTTGTTTACATCTTCCATTCCTTCTCTGTTGTTGCATTTTCTCTCTTCCGCTTCCACTCGTCTGTATGCCTTCCTTCTCCCATTCCCTTATCCCATTTTTATCCTTGTTAATAATACCTATACTCCCTTTTGCTCTTTCCTTTATGTTATCTTTTTTCACAAATCTTCTAGATCGTTCACCACTCTATCCCCTTCCTAAAATAGTTCAGTCTCGAAACACAGACGACGGTTGTATCGGAAGTACAGTTTTAAGTGTCTCACACTACCTCGTTGTTCAAAGAGGAAGCAATTAATTTTTCTACGAAATGATTGCCGGTTTCCACTGGGGTTGAAACAACAGTCTAACTTATCAAGGCGACATCCGATCTTTGCAATCTACAACTACAAATGTAGCAATACCTTCTAGCCGGTATATATTTTCATGTAGTGTCGATATCCATATATTTCGTCTTTGTTGAAAATCCCCCTAGGTCAGGTTCGTAGTTGTTGGTATATGAAGTTCCCTCTTTACGGGGAATGACAAAATTTGGACGTAACACGTAGCACGAATTTAATTTGCCCTCGGTAAAATCTACGGTCGAATGCGACTTACACACAAAAATGCATCGACTAATGAGACCCCCTAGCATACGAAGATTCCATTACTTTTTCTGAAGACTACTGTGAGAGTGCTAAAAGTAAATTATCGAAGCATACGAAGATTCCATTACTTTTTCTGAAGACTACTGTGAGAGTGCTAAAAGTAAATTATCGAATGGGGTTTTGCTGGCGAGTTTAAGGTAACGCTGGGAGGAGGGGGGGGGGCAACAGTAACCTTATCTTGTATCTCATCTTGAATCATACTTCTTATTTCTTGTGGACTAGTTTCTCACTCAAGCCATCCCACACTTGAGATGAACCTGAAGATGCTGGAAGGTACGGTCAGCATACCCCCAACATGGACTTGGACTAAAGCGGGGTGCTCCAGTCTTGCTGACACCCCCCTTGCTGCGGTCTGCCCTTCTTCGTCGACGGTTGGGTCTAGTGATGCGCGCATTCGAATGAAAACTATCGAACTATTCGATAGTCGCAAACCATTCGAATAATTCGATAGTGGACAAGTAATTCATTCGAATGAATTGTCTTGAATGAACGAATTATTTGCAATTGCACACACAGTTCATAATACTAAATACCTTATGTTACGTTGAAAAATGTAAATATTATTTATTTCTTAATCCAGATGGTCACGGTTTGGGATTGGGAATTATAAATTTTATAATACCT